ATAAGTGGCCGCCAGGAAGGAGGCTAAAGAGAAGGGCCATCTGTTCCCAAAAGTCATTATTATAACATCAGTTTAGGGTAAAATGTCAAGTGACTTCCATTTCTATAGCCAAAACATTGAAGGGCAAGCTTCTGCTTAATTTGCTACCTCTCATCTGCTTCTGGTTGACTTAGGGGTGAAAAACACCTCTGAGGATGGGCCAGGCGCTTGCTCCTCGGAGAAGGCGGAGCCCCGGCTCTCTCCAGCTGCAGAACAATCACACTTGTCTCCCCTGCCCCCACTTTCAGCCCACAGTGTTTTGTTTTTAATTTTTTTCACTGTAGTAAAAGATACATACAACTTTTACTATTGTTAACTTTTTTTTTTTTTTGAGATGGAGTCTTGCTCTATTGCCCAGGCTGGGGTGCAGTGGTGCAATCTCGGCTCACCGCAACCTCCACCTCCCAGGTTCAAGCAATTCTCCTGCCTCAGCCTCCTGAATAGCTGGGATTTTAGGCACACACCACCACACCTGGCTAATTTTTGTAGAGACGGGGTTTCGTCATACTGGCCAGGCTGGTCTGGAACTCCTGACCTTGTGATCCTCCTGCCTTGGCCTCCCAAAGTGCTAGGATTACAGGCGTGAGCCACCATGCCCTGCCGACAGCTGCATTCTTTTACCTCAGAGCATTTAAGACCAATAGCACAGAAGACTATCTGCCCCCCAAGACAGTTGTTTAAAACTCTACAGTCTTCATCAATGATCTCCATGATTCCAGCTACTTCTACTAATTTTCAATTGGGCATTGTGTGCAAATACTGGAAAGTAAGGCTTGCTCTCCTTTAAAACACACTTCATCACGCCGTGTAAGTGGGGAACCTCCTCTCCGTGTACGATCTCCCATCTCCTCTGCTGTGGGCCTGGCAGGAGCTGGTTTAGCAGGAAGTTGTAACTGGGTGGGGCAGTCTCAGAAACTGTCTCTTCCACACATGACCAGACAGCCCCAGCTATCTGGTTCCTGTTTAACTTTCTCAGCACTGCGGTTGACAACATAGAGCGCTAGTGAGAGACCTAGGTTTCGATTCTTCACCCTGCTCCTCTGCGCCTCAGTTCTGCTGGCTTTGTAGAATGGGCCAAGGGTCCCCACTTTCTGAGGGGTGGTAATAAAATCATGCACATGAAGTCCTGAGCACACCCTGGCTGCTACGGTAGGGCTCATTTCTTGCCCACATACACACGGGCTATGCCCACACCAGCACTCCCTGAAGCTCCGTGTGTTCAACCCTCTGCTCAGTGAGAATTCCCAGTCTGTTCTCATTGTTTGCCACAGCCACCCTTGGCAAACACCAGCCCTTCCAAAACACTGCCTGCCCTTGGTGTAGCGACTCTTTGGTCCTACGGCCACATATGGCCTACTTCTGGGACAAACTGAGTTACAGCAGTTGTCTCCAAAGAGGGTGCAGAAGCTCATTGTTGGGGGCTAAGAAAAAAATATCAGGCCATGTGTGGTGGCTCACACCTGTAACCTCGGCACTTTGGGATGCCAAGGCAGGAGGATTGCTTGAGCCCAGGAGACTGACCTGGACAACATAGAGAGACTCCTGTGATATGGTTTGGCTCTGTGTCCCCATCCAAATCTCATATAGAATTGTAATCCCCACGTGTTGCTGTTGTGGGAGGGACCTGGTGGGAGGTGATTGAATCAAGGGGCAGTTTCCCCCATGCTGTTCTCATGATGGTGAGTTCTTATGAGATCTGATGGTTTAAAGTGTGTGACAGTTCCCCCCTTCACTCTGTCTCCTGTCGCCATGTAAGATGTGCCTTGCTATATATGCCCCTTTGCCTTCTGCCCTAATTGTAAGTTTCCTGTGGCTTCCCCAGCCATGGAGAACTGTGAGTCGATTAAACCTCTTTTCTTTATAAATTACCCATGCTCAGGTAGTTCTTTATAGCAGTGTGAAAATGGACTAATACACCGATCTCTACTAACAATAAAAAAGTTGGCTGGGCATGGTAGTGTGCACCTGTAGTCCCAGCTACTCAGGAGGCTGAGGCAGGAGGATCGCTTTGAGCCCAGGAGTTCGAGGCTGCAGTGAGCTATAATCATGCCACTCTACTCCAGCGTGGGTGACACAGCAAGACTCTATCTCTAAAAACTAAAAAGAACAAACTGGTGATTTTGTTTGTCTTCATTTTTTCTGTTTTTTGAAACAGAGCCTCGCTCTGTCACCCAGGCTGGAGTGCAGTGGGATGATTATAGCTCAGTGCAACCTTTGCCTTCGGGGCTCAGTCAATCCACCTGCCTTAGCTTCCCAAGTGGCTGAGACTACAGGCTTGCACCACCACACCTGGCTAATTTTTTTGGTATTTTTTATAGAGACAGGGTTTTGCCATGTTGCCCAGGCTGGTCTCAAACTCTTGGACTCCAGTAATCCTCCTGCCCCAGCCTCCCAAAGCTAGAATTACAGGCATGAGCCACCATGACTGGCCTGTCCTCATACTTTTTTTTCTTTTGAGATGGAATCTTGCCCTGTTGCCAGGCTGGAGTGCAGTGGTGTGATCTCTGCTCACTGCAACCTCGAACTCCTGGGCTCAAAGCGATTCTCCTGCCTCAGCCTCCTGAGTAGCTGGGAATACATGCACGTGCGGTGCCACCACGCCCAGATAATTCTTGTTTTTTTTAGTGGAGATGGAGTTTCACCATGTTGGCCAGGATGGTCTCCATAGCTTGACCTCGTGATCCGTCTGCCTTGGCCTCCTAAAGTGCTGGGATTACAGGTGTGAGCCACCGCGCCCGGCCCCAGTCCTCATACTTTTAAAATCCCCATCCTCTGTTTTATAAAATACACATGTTGGAACCCAAGTAAATTAACGTAACACATAGCTTATAGATATTGGGGCTGGAGAGAAACTTAATTTTTACTGCGGGGTGTGTGATAAAAACTGCTTAAAGATCACAGGAGTGGTAGAACTGGTTAGCTGCTACCACCGTAAGAGGTAGTTACCATGGATATTCCTACCTTAAAGATGAGGAAACTGAGACACAAAGTATGCGCAGACCAGTACATGGCTGAGTCAAACCCAGGCACTGCGGAGACTATATCCTTAACTACTGTGCTATATCCTGTGACAAAAGGAAATATCTAGACGTACATCACGCGTGTAGGACTGTTTTATGAACATGAAGATATGAGTGCTGTTAAATCCCTATCTTTGCAGACATCGCTGTACATAACTGTAATCCCAGTTACTCAGGAGCCAGAGGCAGGAGAATCGCTTGAATGCAGGAGGCGGAGGTTGCAGTGAGCCGAGATCGCGTCACTGCATCCAGCCCGGGTGACAGAGCAAGACTGTGTCTAAAAAAAAAGAAAAAGCCGGCCATGGTGGCGCACCTGTAATGCCAGCTACTTGGGAGCCTGAGGCAGGATAATCGCTTGAACCCGGAAGGCGGAGGTTGCAGGGAGCCAAGATCACGCCACTACACCAAAAAAACAGACGCTGGCGGGGGGAACCGTGCTGAGGCGGCGGCAGCAGCGATGCAGGCCGATGCGGGCTGCGGCAGGCCCGCGGCGTCTGGCGGTGCGGGTGGGTGTCGGGCTGGGCGGACAGCGCCGCTGAGAGGGCGACGGGCGCATCTACGGGCGCATCCACGTGGGGATCCTTCCGACCGACGTGCGCGAGAAGGACCTGGAGGGCCTGTGCTACAAGTACAGCCGCAACCGCGAGATCGAGCTCAAGAACCGGCACGGTCTTGTGCCCTTCGCCTTCGGGCGCTTCGAGGACCCCTGAGATGCACAGGATGTTATTTATGGAAAAAATGGACTTCCTCCATCATGCAGTTGGCAGGACCTGAAGGATCACATGTGAGAAGCCCGGATGTCTGTTATGCTGATGTGCGGGGATGGTTGAGTATCCCAGAAAAGAAGTCATGGAATATGTCCTGCGTAAAGACACCAAATTCCGCTCTCATGAGGATGAAACTTCCTACATCCGAGTTTATCCTGAAAGAAGCACCAGCTATGGCTACTAACGGTCTCTGTCTGGTTCAAGGGGCCGTGACTCTCCATACCAAAGCTGGGGTTCCCCACACTACTCTCCTTTCAGGCTCTACTGAGACAGGTGATGGGAATTTTTTATTTTTTAGGTTAACTGAACTGCTTTGTGATCAGAATCTACATTCCAGATTGAGGATTTAGTGTCTTAGGAAATTTTTTTAATTTTTTTTTTTTAAAGAAGAAAACAAGACTACATAATTTCTAGCAGGGCCATAATAGCAGTGAAACATTTTAAACTGCAGAAATTGTGGTTCTGGTTCAGAAACAAGTTGTATATTTTTCACCCCTGATTATGGGAAAAAGTCAGTTCTGTCTTTGTGGGTTGCTCTGCTATGGAGAGCAACAGTTACTGTGACTGAGTCGGCCCATTCTGTTTAGAAATATATTTCAAACGTTTAGGGGGAAAAAGAAAAAAAAAAAAAGAACAGAACAGAACGTGCTGTCAGAAATTTAAAACCCTGTACTTCTGTTGTTAAACTGTGCAAACGTGATTTTTCTTTTTTTTTTTTTTTTGAGATGGAGTTTCACCCTTGTTGCCCAGGCTGGAGTGCAATGGTGCGATCTTGGTTCACGGCAACCTCTACCTCCCGGGTTCAAGAGATTCTTTGGCCTCAGCCTCCTGAGTAGCTGGGATTACAGGCATGCACCACCATGCCCAGCTAATTTTGTATTTTTAGTAGAGACGGGATTTCTCCATGTTGCTCAGGCTGGTCTTGAACTCCTGACCTCAGGTGATCTGCCCACCTTGGCCTCCCAAAGTGCTCGGATTACGGGCATGAGCCACCATGCCCGGCAAACATGTAATTTTTAATGTGTGAGGGTTGAATTCATTGGGGTTATCTTTGAATACATTGAGGTTACCTTACCTCTGCTGAATGGGTAAGGGGCAATTATTGTCCTCGGAAAACAATGTATTTTAGTTTTAAAATGGAGTACCAAAATAAGCACTTCAAAGGACATTTGTGTGAAAGGTTAAAAATAACATTCTTTTAATAAGTTTAAATTTTAGAGAAATATACTAAGACCCATATAACTGCTTCAACAAAGAAAACTTCTTCATTATCTTCATACTTCACATTACAAATTTTGTGCTACTGTTAGATGATATATTAATTTTATTTTCATTACATAAGTTGAGGAAGAAATGCAGAATCAGATTCAAATATATTACAAGGCATTAAGGGAGGTGTGTCCTGTTGCTGAATAGCAAATTGGCTGAAATCTACTTTCTTTCTTTTTTTTTTTTTTTTTTGAGATGGTCTCATTCTGTCACCCAGCTGGAGTGCTGCAGTGGCACGATCTCAGCTCACTGCAGCCTCCACCTCCTGGGATCAAGCAATTCTTGTGCCTTAGCCTCCCAAGCAGCTGGGATTACAGGCACCGCCACCACACCCAACTAATTTTTGTATTTTTAGTAGAGACAGGGTCTCACCATGTTGGTCAGGCTGGTCTCGAACTCCTGACCTCATGTGATCTGCCTGCCTTGGCCTCCCAAAGTGCTGAGATTACAGGTGTAAGCCACCGCACCGAGCCTGAAATCTACTTTCAAAATGGAAATAGGCTTTAAAAGCGCTATCCTGCCTTCTTTCTTCTTTAGAATATAACCTGGTTTTCAGTAAAGTACCAATACATGGATTAAACATATTCTCTCTCACATGGTTAACATTCTGGATGTTCTAGAAAATCATATTCGATGCATTCTTCCAGTTGCTTTAAGACCCTTGAGCTATCTGTGACAGGAAAGTCCAAGAATGGAGCTCCTGGGGTATCAGCAGGCAGCTGTCTTTGGGTTTTAAATGCACAGTTTAGAGTCATGAAGAATGGCATCAACTGCCTGATGCTGGAAACAGAATGTTGGCGCAGAAGCGGGAACTCAGTCTTCATGGTGATCTCATCAGAGCTACTGATTTCCTGCAGAAGAAACAAACCCATAGCAATGATACGGTTTTACTGAGGGCTTGAGATGGCTGGGAAGCACATGCATGTGGCAAAACCTAAGAAATAAGGTCCTTTTTTTTTTTTTTTTTTTT